AAGATTGGCCAACAAATAAAAATAGGGAGGGATTACTCACTGGAAAGAAAGTTTGGGCAAATGGCTCAATAACGAAAAAATAATGTATCCCAACAGTTATTCTACAAATAAGTTCTCTTTCATGAGCCACAGCAGATCATGTGATTAAAAGGAATGATGTTGTGGAGTTACGCTTCCACATCCAACCCTCTGTCACTGTTCGTAGTTCAGCCAGAAAGACAAAAATCCATTTACTGTAAACAAAGGCAGGAAATCCCACCATCTTCACGGGGAAGAGTGTGACTCACTGCTCTGTAGTCTGACGACTCCAAATCTGTCACAACTCCTCTGTGATTAAGAGTGAAACCATCTGGCTTAACGGGGAAGCCTTTACTTCAATGGCAAATCACATCCTGCACAATGCCAATGCACCGTGGCAGCGTTCCTGTTGTTGACTGTGTGCTACAAGAAGAAGAAGCAAAGATTATTCAAGTGAAGTAACACAAAGCCAGGTGTGGGACTGTGGTGGAAAAGCCTTAAACATACATGTGTGGAAACACTGGGAATCCCAACACGCTGCAAAAACGTCCCAGTTTAATATTGTTTACACTGAAATGAACACATTTAGTTTAATGTGATACAAACAGTAACCATCAGTGAGTCTATGGCTGCTGCAGACTGTAAACATTAGTTTCAGGTGCAGCACTGTGTGTATGACTGGACACGCAGGATGTTCAACATGTGAGGCTCGTGTCCTGTTTTCGTTACGTTTGTTTTAATGAAATGTGACTCCAGGCTTTCTTTCTTGCGTACACGCATACATCTGCTTTCATCCACACGCAGACGCAGCTCCCATAAGGGTCAGACAGGCTGACTGCATCAAACTGAAGAGTTCAATGGACCAAGTGACGTGTGCGAGTGTTTGTGCGTTTGTGTGTTTGTGTGTCCTCCTTCTACCTTTTCTCCTTTCTTGTGTCGTAAGACTGAATCTTATTTTCTCTGGTTTACTTAATTCTTTCCCTCGGCTAAATTCATTTAATTCACAGTGTGTGTTTGGTTTTGTTGTGTGTGTGCGACTGTGTGTGTGTTGTTTTTGATTTGTCTTACAGCTACAAACGCTCTTAGAGGTTTTTGAAGTCTTTCTCTCCCCCTCCTTTCACTCACTCTTTGCACCCCTCTCTCTCTTTCTGTCTCACTCTCTCTCTCACACACACACACACACACACACACACACACCCTAAGCCTAACATAACTGGATTAGGACTCAGCTACTAAAGAGAGAGGGAGTGAAAGCAAGTATTGAGGTCAACCTAATAAACATTCATCTCATATCTCGGCTTAGACAGACACACACCAACTGTTTCACCCGGTAACAACACTGTGAACAGTTTTCATGGGGATGTTCAATATAATGATGATCCTTTGTGGCGTTATCTAATCATTCAGCTCCTGCACTGTAGCCACAGAGAGCCTGATCCCTGTTCACTTCATCATTTCCATTAGAACATAAAATGCCAGCTATCACTACAAACATGACTCAGTAAATACACCAATTATCCGTGTAATAAATATACAAAATAATTATTGTGTCACAGCACTGAAGCTGTTTCTAATATTCTGACCCTCGTGGATTTTTTTTACTTGTTTCTGTAAATGTCCAAAAAGTGGACACAATGATGTGTTTGGGTGTTTATGCAGATGCTTTCTGTAACAATGAAACTGTGTTTTTGTTTTTGCATTCTCTCTCTGTCTCGTTAGAAATGTTGATGGATTGTGTGAAGAACAAGGACTTGAAGAAGGTAAGCACTGATAAGTGTTTGCATATTTCTTTATTTGTCCATAACTTAAGGAAGTTGCATGGAAACACGTTGCTCTTGGACACC